TGGCAAATCTTTCAACCACAGCATGTAAACTGGATTTAAGAGAAAGAGTTAAAGATAATGTTAGGTTCAATTTTGGTGAGTAAGATTCTGAAGGTGCTATAGAGCCTTCAGGAAGAAGATAAAAAATGGTTTAAGAGAAGAGAGGGCAATTTCAACTCTGTACTGGCTGAGATTACAGAGTTTGAGGGAGAATCCAGTGGTGCCATCTTGCAGGAAGTTGAATATAAAAGTTTGAAACATAGAGGAAAAGTGTGGGCAACAGACATATATCTGCAGGTCATGAGTATGTAAGCAGGATTTAAATCGTGAAAGTGGATGGTGTAACACAAAGAAAATGTGTAGAATGAACAGAAGAGTCACAAAAGGATAGAAACCCAGAGAATACAATACTGGTGAGCTGGGGGTGAGGGGAGGAGGAAGACTAGCACATTCAGGAGAAAGGGAAGGGATGGATGGAGAGAGAGAGAGAGAGAGAGAGAGAGAGAGAGAGAGAGAGAGAGAGAGAGGAAGGAGAGAAAAAAGAAAGAAGAAATGAAGGAAGAAAGGAAGGAAGGAAGAAAGGAAGGAAGGAAGGAAGGAAGGAAGGAAGGAAGGAAGGAAGGAAGGAAGGAAGGAAGGCAGGCAGCAGGAGGGAAGGAGGGAGGGAAGGAAGGAAGGAGAGAAAAAGGAAAGAAGAAATGAAGGAAGGAAGGAAGGAAGGAAGGAAGGAAGGAAGGAAGGAAGGAAGGAAGGAAGGAAGGAAAGAAGAAAAGAAGAAAGGAAGGAAGGGAGGAAGGAAGGAAGGAAGGAAGGAAGGAAGGAAGGAAGGAAGGAAGGAAGGAAAGAAGGAGAAAGAGAGAAAAGGAAATAGAAAGAAAGAGGAAGAAAGAGAAAGAAAAAGAAAGGAAGAAACCAGAAATAATCCCTGACAGTTGGTAGTTGGTCAGGCAAGCTAGGCCATGATGATTAAATGTCGAGCATAAGTAATTTCACAGAATATGAACACCACACAAGATTACTCTTTAATTGCAATAGAACAAAACAAGACCACTCTCTCCAAAATCACCTAACATAAACAAAAACAAGACCACTCTCTCCAAAATCACCTAACATAAGCTTAAATCTTATTACTATGCCTCCCTAACACTCACTCTCTCACTGAGACACCCCAGAATGCCTCCTGGTTTTCAGTTTCCCTTCCTGCAGGTGTGCTCCTGGTGGTCTCTGGGCACTGGGCTTTAGCATCTTTATAGAAGCCAAGAAGGTAGAAAGTTTAATGTAGGGAGACATCAAAGTTTCTGGTACAACAAAGAGGCCAATGATATCCATTGAATTTGGCAAATAGGAGCTTACTGGTGAACTTTGGAAAACAGAACAGTTTTGTAGGATATGGAGGTAGATGCAGTGTACTAGCTTGAGACAGATGATTACATATATTTCTTCCTACTTCTGTATTCAGTGACATCAAGTTGGTAGCTGGAAATCAGCCATTGGGGAGTATCTACACTATGGAAATTGGCAATGGCTATAAATCAAGGATTGTTTTCCCCTTCAGAAAGTTGGTTGTTTTGCTTTTTACCATCACTCATGAGTAAAAGAGAGAGAACAGTCAGCTGAGGAAAGAATAAGGGGTGAGAAAGTAGAGATAATTAAATGTTTGCATGAGCAAGGGAGATAGGACAATGATTAGAGGGGAAGTAATCACAGGATCGGTGAGAGCTAGAACTCAGAACGTCCGAATTCTGTCCAGTGCTTGTTCTCCTCCTGTTGCTGGCTTACTACTAAGAGCACAGCAGCTGGTATGGGGGTCATTTCAGTACAGCATGGGAGAGAATTGGGAGTGGGTTGGTTGTTTTTGAGGTAAAGGAGAGAAAGAAGGAAACTTTTGGAGAACTATAACCCAAACTCTTACGAGTGGTTAGTATAAATACTACTGTCTCTGGTGTCAAACCCTTAAAATTTATTGAAGTAAAAACTTTTTTAAAAAAATATATTTTTTATTGATTTTTTACAGAGAGGAAGAAAGAGGAATAGAGAGTTAGAAACATCAATGAGAGATCAGCTACCTCTTGCACACCCCCTAGTGGGGATGTGCCCGCAACCAAGGTACATGCCCTTGACTGGAATTGAACCTGGGACCTTTCAATCCACAGGCTGACGCTCTATCCCCTGAGCCAAACCAGTTTCAGCTGAAGTAAAAATTTTTGCAGGTATAGTTTACATTGTCAAATGCTGAGCAACCCCTATGATATCCAGCAGGGGGAGCTATTTAACTGTCTTCTTTCTATTATACCATAATTCATCATTCCAGGAATATGGCTAGGATGAATGCTTGCATTGTCTAAAATAACTTAATGATTTACAGATGGTATTCACATATGGAATTTGCTCCTCAAAAACATGAAAAGGCCCCTTTCTGATCTTATTAAAGTGAGAAACCTATGTGAAAATTGTCACCATCATCAACCCTTATGTTTGGCTTACCATGTAGAGGCATTATCCTGAGCAGGTTACATATATGTATTAGTTCTTTTAATACTCATTACAACACTATAGGGTGAGTACGATCCATTTTACAGATAAGGAAACTGAGGCACAAAGAAATTAGTGGGCCAGTGTTACCCAGCTTGTATGAGAAATAATTGGAACCCGAGCTCTCTGGTGTGAGTCCTGTGTTATATATTTCATCGTTAAAACCTAAGCATGGTTGGTTTAGTCTCTTCCAGAAGTTCTAAATACTTTTCTTGCTTTCTCCTCAGCATTAATGAGCTCATTTCTCAAATTCAGTGAAATACACTTATATCTTGTCCAAAATTATTCAGAGATATTAAGATACCAAAGAAACTTTCTTTTTCTTAGAAACCACTTTTCTCATAGTCAGTATTCTATTTGTTTTGTAAGAATATTATTTGTCTTGCGGGACTAGTGTGGTTTAGTGGTCAAGGCTTGTTTTGCAACCAAGGTACATGCCCATGTTGCAGGCTTGATCCCCAGTAGAGGGGGGCATGCAGGAGGGAGCCGGTGGGTTCTCTCTCATCATTGATGTTGTTGTCTCTCTCCCTCTCCCTTCCTTTCTCTAAAATCAATACCAACATATTTTTAAAAAGAGAATATAATTTATCTCATAACTGTATTAGAAACAGCTAATTAAATATTTTCATTACTTTTGAAAACCCTAAGAGCATATTTTCCTTACACAATCTCCACTGTAAACAGTTAATTCTCGCCAAAATACCCCTTGTGCTAGTCTTTGAAAGTGGAAATATTTGCCTCTAATGAAAATATGTGAACTTGGTTTGTATAATTGAAGGCTGGGGAAGTTATTTCATGTGGTTTCAGATACTTTCACAGCACTTTTTTTCATTTGTCCTAAAAAAAAAAAAAAATTACCAGAGAACTGCATTAGGTAAGAGTATTTTGTCTATTGAGAACACCAAACTGAAACACAGAGGACTCAATTTTAAACATCGCCACTTCTTTTCTATTAAATTCATAGAAAAAGTAAGGGATTCAGAGGAAAGCTTTGGAGGTACAAGGTAAAATGTGACCTTCATTGGCTGTTTTTCATGATTTGCCCAACACCCAGACCTTGCTTCCCCTTTAGTGCCTCCTAAGCACTCCCAGCTGCCACCCTCCCTCCCTGCCACCCCAGAGGAGTCAGGTGGTGAGGGAAACAGAGCTAGGACACCGAAGTGGCATTTTAGGTTCTGAGTGCATATTGGCATGTGGTTTTTATTGGGAGGAACTCCAGTAGTAAATGAAAAGAGCAGATAAAGTGGGTTTGAATAGGCAGAGATCTGTGATAGGAAGGGACTGAGGCAAACAGGACGAGAAGGTATCTGAGAAGCCAGATGAAGCACTTCTGAGATATAAGTGAACATACTCGGATGTTACATTCAGTGTGTTCACACATCAAATGCCAATTGAGCTCCCTTGAGAGCCAGACACAGGGCTAGACACCAGGGACACACAGACCAATAAAACGCTGGCAGCCTGGTGAGAAAGGCAGGCCTGTGAACAGACCGGAGTCCAAGGTACAGGGTGGAGCCTAGGAGGAAGGGCGTGCCCTGGGCCTGCACCAGGATTCACCAATCCACATTCACACGAAGTGCCGCGTGGGCCTGCAGGTACAATTCCAACACCCAGCTCCAGCTGCCTGCAACCTAAAATGGAATTGTTGAAGCCCTGACCAGATTGGCTCACTGGATAGAGCATCAGCCTGCAGACTGAAGGGTCCCAGGATCCATTCCAGACAAGGGCCTGTACCTTGTTTGCGGCAGATCTCCAGTAGGGGGCGTGCAGGAGGCAGCTGATCAATGTTTCTCTCTCATAGATGTTTCTAACTCTGTTCCTCTCCCTTCCTCTCTGTATATTAAAAAAAAAAATGGTACTGTTGAAAATCAGACCTTTATCTGACGACAGGGGTTAAAGAGTTAGCTAGTGCTGTGCAGATTAAAACGGGCACACGTCGAAGCAATGATAATAATAATAATAATAATTATTATTATTATTATTATTATTATTTAAGCCGAAACCGGTTTGGCTCAGTGGATACAGCCTCGGCCTGCGGGCTGAAGGGTCCCAGGTTGGATTCCGGTCAGGGGCATGCACCTTGGTTGCGGGCGCATCCCCGGTGGGGGGTGTGCGGGAGGCAGCTGATCAATGTTTCTCTAACTCTCTATCCCTCTCTCTTCCTCTCTGTAAAAAATCAATGAAATTTAAAAACAAAAAAAAACCATTTACAGTGAGAGGGTCCTGGAAGAGGAGAATAAGGTTGCAGCAGGGACCTCCAGGTGCGCGGGGAGGGGGGGGGGGGGGGAGGGCGAGCACCCGCCCGGGTGTAACCGGAGCCGCCTCGCCTCCCGGTGCGGCCCGCCCGGGGCGGGTCCGGGCGGCTGAGTCACCGGAATGCAGGTGGGGCCGGCCCGCCCCGCCCCTCGTCCCTTTTGTGCGGCGGCCGGCGCTCCGGGGCCACTCTCCCCGCTCCGAGCCCCGCGCGCCGTGCTCCGCCCGCCGCCGAGATGCTGCGCTGCGGCCTGGCCTGCGAGCGCTGCCGCTGGATCCTGCCGCTGCTCCTGCTCAGCGCCATCGCCTTCGACATCATCGCGCTGGCCGGCCGCGGCTGGCTGCAGTCCAGCGACCACATCCAGACGTCCTCGCTGTGGTGGCGATGCTTCCACGAGGGCGGCGGCAGCGGGTCCGAGGCGGACGGCTGCCAGAGCCTCATGGAATACGGTGAGTGCCGCCGCCTCCGGGAAGTCCTCCGGGTGCGCCCCGGCCGGTGTGCGCCGGCGCCGTGCGAGCGCCCGGCCTTCGGAAGCCGCCCTTGGGGAAGGGGCTGAACAGGGTTGGGAATAATGGGTGATTAAAATAATAATAATAATAATAATAATAATAATAATAATAATAATAATATATCTGTCCAGAGTTGAGCTTCAGGCCTCCTAGCTGAACGAGTAGCGGCTCTGAGTATGGCCCAAACCAGGCTCAACCCTGGAAGAAAATGACCCAAGTTCAAACAATGCTTTTGCGGAGGGTTTGGCGGTTCCGTGCAAAATCATTTGAAAAGGCTCGATGAGTACAAATAATGAACAAAGTATATCTTTTTTGATACCTACTGACATGTCTTCCCATTCCGCCTTCTCCTATGGTTCTTATGATTAAAACATAAACGTTTTAAATACTGGCCTTCCCTAATGTTGGCATAAAAGCGCTCTCTGTGAACATTTCAGCTGATACTGTACTAGTATTTAACGCTTCAGGCTAGTTCTTGTAGTTTTTGTCTTGGAGGGGGGGGGGGGTTGTGGTGGTGGTTTTTTGTTTTTTGGTGTGTTTTTTTTTTTTGTTTTTTTGGTTTTATTGTTTAAGCACGGCCTTACTGTTTAGAAAACTTCATTTGAATGTGATTTTTAAATCAAAAAAGCAAACACACTTCCACATCAGCGAAATGAAGCAGAGTTAACATACCTGTATATAGTGTCCCCCCAAACATGTATACACACACTTTAAATAATTAAAAAGGCAGTGTTTATTAAAATACATTGCATTTTAAAATGGAGTTATTGGCTGTTAAAGTGTGTATACATGTTTGGGGACACACTATTGAAGACGGAGTAGTTTATTTTTCCCGCATGGAGGAAGCCTTGGTGCTTAACTTGTTGATAGAACAGACCCCAGAGGAGCTTGGTTTTGTCTGATGCTACGCCTGCTAACTGGAAATGTGAAGAACGGCCAGGTCTAAATAGGAACATAAACAGAAGCTTAAAGCCAAATATTACTCACTGGGACCTTACCAACCAGATGTAATAGTTTTAAACCTAGAAAGAGAAAGAAGGTCCCCTACCTTTTTTCATTTCCTTCTGGGACCAGAGACTTGACCCACCCCTCCTCCTCCTCCCCCCGCAGCCCTCAAATGGCCCAGAGCTTCCAGCCAAACTGTTTGTCTCTGGGGCCTCCATCAGGGGCTTGGTGCTGGTTCTTATGGACCCTGGGATTGTTTGCAAGTTCCCACTGTGACCTTTTCTCTTCTCCGAAAGGAGGCATGGTCCGCATTGGCAGGTCATAAAAGGTAAAGACCGAAGGGAATTCCTGCTTTCCTTAAAGTGTGTTTTTCTTATCTTAAAACACAAACAGCCGGCCTGCCAGGGTTTGTATTATTGGAAGCCTGTTAGGTTTTTAAAGAGGATTCTTTTCTTTGAAATAATACATCGGTATCTTAAAATGCATTTGAATTCAGTAGCTCGTAGGGGACCTTAATAGGTCTGCTTACATAGGTGTGTTTTTTAAACAGACTATGATAATCACTCCAAAGACTAATACAGACTCCAAGAATACTCAGCAATACTTTACCCATGAAATAGAAGTCAGTGCCCTGTGCGGATTGGGGTGCTGGCAGAATCCCACAAACACTGTTGCTGGGACGGGACCTGACCTGGAAGGCTCTGCCTGTGATCACAGCCCTCCCGAGAAACAGGATGCAGTTGTTCTTTAAGTTGAATTGCACACTTTGTTTTTTTTTATTGAATATATCGAGGTGACATTAGTTAATATAATTATATAGGTTTCCGGTGTACAATTCTATTATACGACATCTGTATTTTGTGTGTTCACCCCAAGTCAGGTCTCCTTCCTCTTTTTCTTCCCTTGCGGGATGAGCTCACTTTCCTAGGGTGTGGCGCTTTCGACCGCAGGTTGATAGACTGCTTTGTATTTGGGAGGGAGTAGGCAGGTTTTGTTTCTTAGTTTAATTTTTTTTTTTTTTAATTAGACAGAAGTCTAAAGCATTATGTCTTGATTGTAGAGAAAACATCGATCCAGGGTTTATAAATCAATTTAAAAGTGAAACTGATTTTTGGAAAGTTCAGTTTTCCAAGTGAGTCTCAAATCTATTGCTATAGATTAGGTGACTATGGGAAGGAAAAAAATAGATATGAATTCACCAGGAGAGGTCCGTTTTGGGCTGTTGTAGTCAAAGATGAGTGGGAGGGAGTGTTTATTCTGCTCTACTTCCTGGCACGGACTGTTCGTTAATTTTGTCTCACAGGTGCAGCCATTGTGCCTGCATTGTAGGGCGATGATTTAGGCATGTCTGAACCCAGGAGATTTTCAGATAGCCTTAATGAGGTCTTGCTGAAAACAGTGTGTTTATACTACTTTATCTAAAATGTAGTAAGTAGCTTACACATACTCCCACCTATGAATAAATACCATAAGGACTAAGGTTGATGACTAATTAAAATGGTATCTCAATATAAAGAATTGAGTAGGTACATCCATTTAAAAAAAAAAAAAACAACTTCTTGATATGTACTAGAAAATAAACGTTGTGATTTACCACTGAAACTAATCTTTACCTTTTTATTACAAAGTGCTTGACCATCTCTTATTGATATTCATGTTTATTTTTAAAATTTTTATATATTGATTTGAGAGAAAGAGAAACATTGATTTGTTGTTCCACTTATGTATGCATTCTTTGGTTGATTCTTATATTGTGCCCTTGACCGAGAATCAAACCCACAACCTTGGTGAATCGGAACAATGCTCTGACCAACTGAGCTAACCCGTCCAGGACCATAATATTAATACATTAATTTTGGTATTAAAGACAGGTTATTCTTGGCAAGTATTGGCATTAGTACTAAATAATAGAGACTTTTTAAATAGCAAGCTATGTAGTTCCTTAATATTATGTAAAAAGCAGAATATTATACTCTTCTCTATTATTAACAATTTCTTAAGAATTTCAGATTACCATATTACCTTATTTTTCCTATAAATGAACCAAATTACATGTTGAGTATGCTCTTTTCATGATGGTAACAACTAAATAAATACCCAGCTTTACAGATATTGTTTATATTTCTCAAAACCAAAAAAGAATATCTAGATTTTAAACATTGAAATGATCATCCTTATTTCATGTATAAATAAAATGCAAAATTATATTTGAGTGCATGTTCACACATGCTATTTTTGCACTACTGGTACCTTCATTTTCAGTTTTAAGGGGGGAAAAATACCCCACGAGGATATTTTAAGCTTCAGTGGTGTAGAATTCCAATCTCAAGCAAGCTCCAGCTTGTCAGGGTGGAGAATAGAGAGGAATGTGTGCACCAAGAATGAAGGGGGAGGGGTCGGTGTTGAGAGCATTTGCCTTGGTCTGGACAGAAGTGCAGAGCCTCATTTTTACACAGACACCCTCTGATAACTCAGAGCGCACTGAATGTTTTTATTTTGTTGTGTGTGTGTGTGTGTGTGTTTAAAAACACATGACATCATTCTTTGGTAAGTCAAAGAATCAGAGTTTTATATGAAACATTTCTAGAACATTTAGCCCTATGGTTCTTAAATGTACAGGAAATGAGAAAAACAAATATGAGGCAAAAAAGTTTATCTTAGGCTAAATTCAACTTAAAGGGACTGCATTTTGAGATGAGGCTCTTGTGGCTTTTGGTGGGGGCAAGGTGAAATATTAAAACATTCTTATTTTATGACAAAGGGCGTTAGTAGATAGATTGCTCTTGGTGGGCATGTGTTTATACCCTTAGCTGACAAAATAAAATAATTCGCCACTCCATTGATTTTCATACTTTAAAAAATATGTATATTGATTTTTACAGTCGTGAAGCCTGGGAACCAATGATCTAGCCCAGTGCACTCCACATTTGCTGCCTGTAGCATTAACCACCCGAGAGCTTCCTTCCCTCCTTAGTGACTGACTTGTCTTCTCCCTGTACACAGAACAGACGCCTGGAGGAGTAGAATTAGAAGGGAATAAGAGGACACCTATCCAAGCTTTCTCCAAGCGCTCTCATCAACACCACCTATGACCCATCTGAGCTTCTTCCCTTTGTCCAGCAACTTAATTCAGTTCTCTAGTTGATGCCATTTGTTTAAAAGCTCTTCTACCCACAGAGCTGAAAGGTGCTTCCTGGTAAATTCTACCCTGTGGCCTTCTTCTCTCTGACAGACTTACTTGTATGTGAGGGTAGATCCTAAATTCGCTGCTGTTTATCTTGTGTAAATTCCGGTACAATTCCTGGTTTTTGCTTCTTCCTGTGTAGGAAGCTTTCACCATTCTGCCTTTAAAAGGCCCTGAAGGGGCAAAGTATCCTAATTCTGTGCAAACACCGTGGTCAGTAGTTATCATCTGGCTCTGCTGCAGGAGACACGCAGAGCATGTTAGGAATCCCACACCAACAGTGGCACTCTCCTGGGTGACCCTGTCATTCCTTTTTTTAAGCCACTTCTTCTGCCTTCCAAAACCTGCCAGATTGCTTCTCCCTATGCTGATTGTTTTGGCCGCCTGTTTGGTGTTGTCCTGTAATAGTTGCTACTCACAGTGTCGAAGAACAGCAGGATCAGCGTTATCTGGAGGTTACTGGACACGCAGTGACTCAGGCCCCACCCACTGAACTGGAATCTGTATTTGAACAAGAATCCCCAGGTGACTCCTAAGCACTGTTGTTTCAGAAGCACTGACCTGTATTCCTGCAGATTGCTTTCTCATTGAACATGCAACAGTCTTTTTGAATATGCCATCCACCCATGCTTATATTTATTTATAGATAGGATCTTTTGTTTTTTTCCGATTACAATTTTATCCAGTTTTCAGCTGTGCCTGTATAGCTGCTAAAGAATCCTATAGAAACAACATGAAGAAGATCTGACAACATTCGGATTCAGTAGGTGGGGCCTTTGATATTATTGACAAATGAATCCTTTGTTCTGGAAAGAGAACCTACTCAGCTGGGTAACAGGTCCGAGTCTGCAGGGCAGAGCTGAATAAGGGGCTAGACTAGACTGTTTTGGTTAATGTGTATTGTCCACATGTAAAACTACGGAAGAATGCAGAAAACCATTAAAAGCAATACTAACTTTAAGGGGAAAATTAGTGAGTCTCTAAAATATTGCCAACAATATTAAAAATATCAGCAATGCTCTCCTCTTAAAAGTTTATTTTTTTCTTTTCACAAACCAGTTTGATTTATGATCTCTAGCTTGGCATTCAAGGTATTTATTTTTACTTTGTTTGCTATTTTCTTATCAGTTGACCTTACTGATCTTTTTCTAGTCCAATTTGCCTTGTAACATTGTGTTTTCACCTGCAATCTCTGGGAAAAGATATAGCATTCATTTTCATGCGAAAAACGCAAAAACATTTCCTAGGAAAAGCTCAGAGTTTCTTTAGCAACCATAGAATCATTTCCATGTTGTTGATTTAATGTTGAATCTTTGCAAGCCAGAGAAAAATTTGATAAGCCATTCTTCACCTAAGTGGATTGTTAATAAATCCTGTTTAAAATAGGATTTATAATGCTGCTGGTTTCTTTGATTATATAAACTTCTCCAAGTGGATAACATAATAGATTATGTATATAAAATACCAAATATATTTTTCCTTAAGGGTACAAAACAAATAAACAAAAAGCTTCCCTATTGGAAACTGTTTACCTGGAGTGTTATATGCTTTTGTGTCCTCAATTAAGAGAATAATAATTGCTAATGAGAGTCCTGCCAGACTCCCTACACATACACACACACAATTAGAAAAGGCAATAAAATCTAAAGTGCATAAAGTAATAATGTCTTTAGAGTAGATCAAGAAGGACAGTCTGCCTTTGAAGAACTGAGAACCAGCTGTTGAATCATAGACAAAGTAGCTTTAGGACAAGTTTTAAAAGGGTTGGTAAATATGGTATAGTGACCATTATACAATACAAAAATGTAAATACTTCCCAAAAGAGTTGGGTAACTGTGTAGATATGAGGCTCATTCTGGGTAATTGAGACCAAAGGTACTTACAGTACAAGTTTTGAAATATATGTCATGGGGAATTGCCATGTCCTAAGTCTTCATGACAATCGGTCTCCTTTTAGGACAGGTTATTGGCCTGGGAGGACCTTGCTCACATCTGGTGGGATCCATCTCATCATTTTACAGCAAAATAGTCATTGACATGAAAAGGCAGTTTGCCTTATTTGTCATTCATCAGTCAGAACAGAATCTTTAAAACCATGCCAAGATTTCTGTCTTAAGTGATAGTTAAGCCAGTGAGTCATTGTGGGTGTTTCCATCGGCAGGAGCAGGTTTTACAGGTCTACTTCCCAGGCAGCCTTTATCAAAACAGAATGTCCTTAATTTTCCGTTTTGATGATTCGGCATTGTAAATAAGCAAGACATTAACTGAGTTGTTTTAACGTAACATAGGAAACGTTCTTAAAATGCTCTGTGTATTCTTATGTTCACATATTACATTCAGATTCCTGGGCACTACGCCTCAGGCTCTGATTCAGTATTTCTCGAGGGAGGCACAGGAACCTGTATTTCTGATAAGCTCCCCTGCAGATTTTGACTGGGTGGTGTGTGGACTATACTTTGAGATGACCTGAGTGAGTATTAAAGCATGCTTCCTCTGCTATTAAAAGTTACCTTGCTTGAAGAACAAAGCAAAAGTGAGAAAAGAGACTTACTCAATTCCACTTTTTTACTTTATTCATTTTTATTTTTAAAAAAGACATTTCTATTGTATTTTGCCCCTAAAATATCTCCTTGATCATTTCACAGGTAGAGGAAGGAGACTTGGAGGAAATAAAAAGTGTAAAGATAAAACTAGGTCCACTCATGTACTCTCTCAGGCCCAGCTAGACCCCTGTGCTAAGGGGTAGTTTGTATAAACACATGGTATTGGAGCACATAAAAATGTGTCTTCTCCTTCGTTATCTGGGTCCCAGTCCTTCGTGAATCCAGAAGAAGATCTGGAGGGCACGTGGGGCCCGCTCCAGGGAGTAGGGGAGCGCAGCTCGGGTTTGTCTGTAACAGAGGGAGATAGGAAAATGCAGTGGGGGACTGAGGAACAGCCTTTGTGTGACAGCGGGGAACCGCGTGAATGTAGAATAAAATGAAAACTTGAGTTCCTGGAGAAACATCATAGGAATACAGGAGGAACTTTTTGAGCTACGTGACTTCACTCACGCGCCCTCATCCTTACAATAATCTTGAAAGAAGGTATTTTTAGCCTTGGGCAGAAGATGTGCAGATTGACAGTGGCTTGTAGGTGGCAGAGGCAGTGTGTACATGAGACCCAGTTCTGCCTCCAAAGCACTTGCTCTTTCTCCTGTCCCACCTGTATCTTTAACTTTGACCGGTCAAATGACCTAGAATTAAGTGAGGATGAGTTTGTCAGCCGAGCTGTACTGCAGCTGGAGAAAAACCAGGGCAGAGGTGCGCACGACTCTCCTTTTCACATGCCACAAAGAGTAATCGGTGAAGAAGGCATGTTCGTCCATTAATGAATGAATGGACAACCAACCTGTGGGATATCCATGCAATAGAATATATTTTGGCTATAAAAAAAGGAATGGAGTACTAATGCGTGCTATAGCATAGATGCACCTTGAATACATTATGCTAAACGAGAGTAGGCAGTCAAAACAGCTGCATAGTGTATGATCCCATTTACCTGAAATGTCCACAATAGGCAAATTTATAGAGACAGAAAGTGGGTTAGTGGTTGTCAGAAGCTGCAGGAAGGGGGAATGGAAGGACACGGAGTTTCTTTTGGGGTGATAAAAATGTTGGAATTGTAAGTGGTGATGGTTGCACAACCCTGTGAATATAAAAACCACTGAATTGTATACTTGAAAAGGGTGAACTTTATGATGTGTAAATTATCGCTTTAAAAAACATTACGTTTTCCATTCAGGCAGGCTCTGAATCAAACTCTCCCTACATCACTTACTGGGTGTGTGGCTATAGCAGGCTATTTGAACTCTCGAAGCCTTAGTATATAGCTTCATTTCTGAAGAAATTATATCAGTATGAACCCTAAAAAGTTATTGTGAGGATTTAGTGAGCTGAATATGTCTAGTTACTAACCCAGTGCCTGGCACAGAGCAATTACTTCTAAAATGTTGGTTATTACGATTAGAGAGAAGGTTGTGTGAGAAGCAATCTTAAAAACCAGAGCAGGTTGAACAGTAAGAATACTGAACAGTAAGAATACTGGGTTCATGGCTCTCACTTCCACAGGCCGAGGGTAGCATGACACGGGACTGAAGAAGCCCCTGCAGGTTTCCAAACTCAGAGCTCCTTTTAGGGCCAACATGGATGGCTAAGAACTCTTGTGCAGTAAGAGCTAAATTCTGAATACTCCAGCATGAAAGTTTAGGCAAAAATCTAGAAAGACTGTGCTTAACCATGTTATTTAAAAAAAAAAAAATCCCAGTTACTTTACAATTAAATTATTTTAATTCACATCTCTGCCTACTCATAAGTTTATGTTTTCAAAGGTTATTTTTGCAAGGAACCAAGTATTGATATGAAACAAGGATCCTTTAGAGGTGTTGGAAACATTTCCTAAAGAGATGGTCCTTTGGGTTGTTCAGTACCCAAAATGCTGCTTATTATGTTGTGTTAGTATTCGAGTGAGCCTTTTAAATCTACTAGTTCCTATGGCTAGTTTATTAAACAAGAGCTAATTTAATGAAATTTAATGAAATTTAACTTTCATCTCAGAGATAGAAACGCTTGTCCTAAAACTGAGGGGACGAGGCGCTATTGCGTATCCGTGTATTAGTGCCCTACATGTCTAATTGCCCCCTGAGACATGGAGACGCTTGAGTCTTGTTCAGAGAAAAACTGCTCTTCCATCCAAATGTAATTAGTGGAAAGAAAAAGCACTGCTGCCCATACTGGATAAGTGGTTGTTGGACTTGGCACATCTGCCTGCTGACCACCGTTTCCTTCCGCCCGCAGCGTGGGGAAGGGCTGCTGCGGCCACGCTCTTCTGCGGCTTCATCATCCTGTGCATCTGCTTCATCCTCTCCTTCTTCGCCCTCTGCGGACCCCAGATGCTCGTCTTCCTGAGAGTGATCGGAGGCCTCCTGGCCCTGGCGGGTAAGTGTGTGTGTGTGTGAGCAATTCTTCCTTCCACCTTCCCTGGACATAGTGCCCGGTCCGCAAAGAAGATCCCCTGGCGATTGTAATTCCTGACCTGTTCTCAGAAATTGTGTCACCATGGGCCCGTCACGGAGGAGAGATGTGTTTTAAGAGCTAGAGCCATTGGCAACCAATCGATGTGTCTCTTTAACATCGATGTTTCTCTCTCTCTCTCTCTTTCTCTCTCTCTCCCCTTTCTCTCTCCTCCTCCCTCCCTCCTTTCCACTCTCTCTAAAAACCAGTGGGAAAGTATCCTTGGGTGAGGATTAACAACAAAAAACAGAAGAGCTAGAGCCCTTTCCTCCCATGTCTCACCTGGTACTCTGCTCCCTTCCAAATGAGGAAGGTTGTCATTCTGTAGTCTGGGGCCATTTGGATGTTTATAACATCACTCATGGCCCATACAAAATTCTCAACTTAAAAATTAGCCTGCTGTTGAGAGGGCAGGGCGGGGCGAGGATGAGCTCTCGACTCCAACCCGAAGGGCGGAGTTATCCCTAGCCCTCACCCAACCAATCAGGGTTAGCCGAGGCAGTGACATCACCGCCAGCTGGAGTAAAACCCCTGGACTGGGTGAAATTCACTCTCTCTTCCGCCATGCTGCCGTCGTGAGTGGGAAGAGCCCATGCTAGTATGGAAAAGGCTCTTTCGTTTATTGCATCTGACTCGGCTCCCTAGTGGTCCTTGGGGATCACAAAGTCTGGGCGTAACACTGTATTTGGTCAAACATTTAATTAACTCACCTCTAATGCCTTGGCAGGGCCAGACCAAATGATTTGGTGGGCCTTATAAGGCCCTCAGGCTGGACATTCCCCACCCTTACTGTATACCATCTCTTGTGGGTGAGGCCGTGTCCAGTGGCACCCCTACCTGAGGGATTGGGGCTGAGTCACCCCTGCAAGAGCAGTGTCTCAGCAGTGGGCCCAGTGCCGGCCTTGTGGGAGCCCCATGCTGGGGGGCAGTACTTATTGAAGGAGTTTTGTGGTCTTATGATGCGGAGGGTCATGAAAAGGTTTTCTGTAGTGGGATGGGGGACCTGGAAGGGGCCAGCCCTGTAATTGCCTCATCACCAGCGCTGGGGAACCAGACATTTGGTTACGCAAGTGGTTGGGCTCAGAGTAAATGTTTATTCATGGAATATAACAACTAGGAGTCTGGGAGCAAGAATAATTTGAAATTTTAGGAAGGCACCTGGCCCTAGGGAAGCCTGTCGAAGGGGCAGGTCCCCAGCCACCGAATGGATTTAGATGCAAAACTGGATTTCCTGAGGAGGGGAAAGGAGAAGGAGCTGATGATGGCAAAGCGAGGCCACAGATCATTTCTCAAGATAACTTGGGCTCCTGGGAGCAAAGCAGAAGTCCAGTGACAGCCGTGGAGTACAGACTCAAAGTGAGCAGAAGGCCTTGGACACCGGTCAGAAGCCTTGTGGCTGAAGGGGTCCATGAGATCAAGCATGAGCCCAGAGAGAGACCACTTTGTGCTAGGTTCCCACAGGGCCTAGAACAGGCCAAATGGTCCTGGCTGAGAGGCAGCGGGTGGCCTCAGGGAACTGGCCCATGCAGGCTCTGCCCTCACCTGCATATTTTAAGAATTCCTCTTGATTAAAGATAAAGTTGACTCCAGTGTTCTTTATGCTTGCAAGTTTGCTTTTGGAATCATACTTTAAAATCAGAAATTACTTGGAATCGCAAAAGATAAAGAGGAACCTTGTCAAATCCCATCTCTGCTTCTATTTGGCTTTTTGCAGTTCACATTATTTTTTAAATATTTTTAAATACTCAAGCAGAACTAAAATCTGCTCATACCCTTTGACATGGCAATGTACATATGAAATAATAAGTCAATAAAATGCAGAACATAGCACAGATGGATATACTCATTATATACTATAAAAGAAGGTTATGTTCTTTTTAATTTTGTGTTGCTTAAAATGTTAATATGATTAGTAATGATTGTGTTAATGTGATTCTTATGCTGAAAAGATTAGAAATTGACACGTTTCTTTTTTATTTCCTCTCTTACACTCCCCCAAAACCCATCTTTCATTTCTGCTCCCTGAGCCTGAAATGCTCTTCACCCTCCATCTCTCCATTTCTGTTATTCTTTAGATTCTCACTTCCTTTTCTGGTGATTCTCTGCATCGATCATTTGCATCATTGGTTCGTCATTTCATTTAGTCATTCATTTCGTGAAGGACCATTCCAGCGGTGTCTTTGGGATGGAGTGATAGATGTGTGTGTGCATGCACATGTGTGTATGTGTATATATACATTATTTTTGCTAACACTGAGAATATTAACTATGTCTTTGGCACAGGAAATACAAAAGTGATAAGAAATACTCTTCCTTACCACCCTGCTATCTATTATATGCCATAGTTTGGGCTTTTTACTTCAGTATACAATACTTGCACCTGAACTGTAGAGTGCTTTTCCAGTTGTCTCCTGCCCGTATTTCTTGTATTCAGTATTCTGCTCAATGCCAGCTCTCTTAGATATACAATATTTAAAAATCTTTTTCGGCTCATGATTAACTAGATACCCCAGCCCCTTTCATTAGCATCATTTAGGTGGATTTAATTCTTATTGAAAGGCAAAAAAACTGGGAGAGAGAGTTAATCTACTATTGCAATTCATTCATTCATTCGTGCATGCCTGCATTCACACTTTGGGTCCCCCCCACTTTTCCTTTAGCTGTGTTCCAGATCATCTCCCTGGTGATTTACCCCGTGAAGTACACCCAGACCTTCACCCTTCATCTCAACCCCGCCGTCAATTACATCTATAACTGGGCCTACGGCTTCGGCTGGGCGGCTACGATTATCCTGATCGGCTGCTCCTTCTTCTTCTGCTGCCTCCCCAACTACGAAGACGACCTCCTGGGCAATGCCAAGCCGCGCTACTTTTACTCCTCTGCCTAAGGCGGGGACGGATTCCTGCTGCCGGGATGGATTCCAGAAGAAGAAACTGTTTTTCCCAGAATACTTTGAACCTATTTGGCAGGGAGGGGAGCAGAGCACTGTTCATATCATTAGATTAGGCAAAGCGCTACAATAATGTGCGAGGAACTATTCCTTAAATGGTGTTCTAGTTTCATATTCGTCTTTTATATATATATATATATTTTATAGAGTGAAACAAAACGTAACTTCTTTTGACGAATTACCTGGAATATGCCAATATTTTCTTACTATCTGTCCATACAATTTATACTGCATTTGTAAAAGAATATGAATATGAAACTCACCATTTTATAAGGTAGAAATAAGAAGGCTTAAAAAAGATTTAAGTAATCTGATCAAGTGTCTGTTTGACCCAGATTACATTAGGTCTATTAAAAGAAAAGAAGGAAATATTGGTTAAAAAAAAATAAAAAAATTGTCAGGGACGAAATATTCTAAAAGAAATGTAAAAGATAAATATTTTTCCAGCCTCCTGCTAGTTAAGGAAGGCAAAAGAGTTTCCTAGATGCGTATCATTTGTGAGAATTTCTAATTTATATCCTGAGTAATAGATTTTTTTTTTTTGCTAAGCTTCACATTAACTTGATATGTCATGTAGGACAGTATTCTTTCATGGCCAAAACCTGTTGCAGTAGTAAGTAAGGTCTTCTATGCAAGGAAATGCTAAGATGAAATTTTCTCTTTAAAAGTGGTTTGTAGGGGTGGGGTGTGGGAAAAATGATATGTTAATCTGTATTGTTTTGTGTCTATATGTTAAAGATCAGAGTAAATTGCGTTGAAAGATAGGCTGGGTCTAAGTCATCGTGACTGACGGATATGCTTAGGTTGCGTAGCAAAGCATTAGGAAGGCCATTCCTATCACAGAAGAAACATTAAAACAACCTTGGGAGAAGAAATGACTTGAATTTCTCATCTCAGTTGAGCAGGATCTACCCATATAGACACAGCTTCTGATAGATTGTAACTGTAAGTAAAAACTTAAAAAATATAGTAAAAAACCTGGTCTTCTTTGGTAAACTGATTTAAAATATCTGGTATAAAGCATGCAACAGGTGAATTCAGGGATATGAGATCTCTGGATGGGAAATATATGATATATCACATGGGTTATTATTTTTTTACCATTTGTACTTACATAAAGAAAACCAATTCATATGATATATCCAATTATTATTTTGTAAATGCAGGATAAGCAATTACAGTTTTTATTATGAATTTTTCCCAATAAACCAGATATTCTAATCTTGTATCTAGTTTGCAGTTTTTTAAAACATTTTTCTTCAAATCTGAGGAAGGGGATTCTTAAAAAAATAATTTGAGTTGAGGTAGTAAGAATTTGTAATAAAAGCTTAATATGCTAATTAGACTGGACGTCCTTCCGGATGAAACCCAGTTCCCAAGGCAGCAGAGGGGAACCGGTGCTGGCAGCAGAGGGAAGGAAGGCCTACCCTTGCATGAACTTCCTGTATCAGGCCTCTGGTATTGATAAAATGAAAAGTTGCTTCCTTGAGATGGAATCTTCTTCATTCAGGTGGTGGGACAGCAAGCAGTCTCTTTTCCTTTTTGATTCTGTTCATTTTCCCGTTTGGTGGTTTATTTTACCACCATGGATTGTAGTTAATTCTGCTATGGTGTATAATGTGAAGAAAGGTTGCAGAATGGCATGGTGGGGGAAGGGAAGTATTTCTTCTTAGTGCTGTTAGCCATTTGGTCCGTGACAGCTAATTTTCCTTCTATGCTTCTCAAAATATCAGATGAATGTTTTGCTTCATAAATTTAGAAGAATGTGATCTGGGTTATTTACACCAATTTTTTTTTTTTTAATTCTGTGACTGCTGGAGGATTTGAAGTGGTAACAAACGATGTTAAAAAGGTCATCTTCTAAAATAATAGCCAAGCTAATTCAAGAAGATCATGGATACCTAAAGATTAAGGAACTGGGTCTCCCATTGTACATGAAAATGACTCTCAGATACAAGGTTCTCTGAGCTATATGCTCTTGTTTTTGATTTTTACCCCACACAACTTCCTTTTTTTAAAAAAAATATATATATATTTTATTGATATTTTACAGAGAGGAGGAAGGGAGGAGATAGAGAGCTAGAAACATCGATGAGAGAGAAACATCGACCAGCTGCCTCTTGCACACCCCCTACTGGGGATGTGCCCACAACCAATGTACATGCCCTTGACCAGAATCAAACCTGGGGCCTTTCAGTCCGCAGACCGACACTCTACCACTGAGCCAAACCAGTTTCGGCCACAGCTTCCTTTTTTCCCCTTTTCAATAAGTAACAAACACCAAACACGCTGTATTCAAATAGTGCACATTTAGGAAAAAATACAGCTTCCTGGGACTAATGAGCTGATGTGATGCAAGCATTTTGACCTGAAACATTTGGGACAAAGACACGCTGCCATTCCATTGGCTAAAGTATTCTCCTTTCAGCCTCATTCAAGTGCAGACATCCTTCGTTCCTTGGTTTTCCCATTCACCAGGACAGATACCCTCGTGTCCTAGACAGCAAGAGAATTCCAGCAGGTTCTGGAGAGTAATGAAGAATTTGGGAAGCCATCTGAAGATGAACAGTGCATTCTATGAGATTTCCCATGGTAAAGTGGATGTGGTTTTTGGCTCTGTAATTATATTAAGAGTCCCCACCCTTTAGTAAATAAACAGTTCTAGGTTCCCAAGCAATTATCTCATGCTCATACTACAAGTAGATATGCTAAGTGCCATTTACTGTTGAATACAACAAAGAAATAGTATGTCAAGGTCTTTTAGTTGTCACACATGGTGTCCATGGAGTGTAATTATTTTTAGCTTCAAAAACATATACTGCTGAACTAACAATAAAGTTTGATAGGCCTTCCTTTTGTAAGGAAATGAAAACAATGGAAGAATATAATCATAATAACTTAATTAGGTTGATTTTTTTGCTACAAGCTCCTGCTGAAAGTCAGTTCTATTAATATAACATACACAAATGCTGAATTGACTTATTTTGACTTGTTTCTAGGCCTGTAAAGAGCATATTTGGGTCTCAACCAATATTGTTTAATGGACTAAGATGAAGGTGGAGGACCTGTAGTGTGAATGACTAGGCCTGGGTGGGGACTGGTTATACAGAGAGAGAGGGAATAAGAAAAGCAGCAGAAGAAAATGGGAAAGAAAAAAAGGGGGTGGTGGTGGTAAGATAAAAAACCATAGGATCTGTGTATCTCACTGCCCAGCATTTGAAAACAGTTCCCATAGTTTGGAGATTTTATGATTAGACTTCTTTTGGAGCACTTTTCTGGGATTGGACCCTATGAGTAATTACATCGTAAGCATCGGAGGTATAAGTCACTTTTCGAATCCTCCCAGGTGTGTGGTTAAAACGAGTGTCTGGCCTTGGTTTGACGACCTCCTGGAGAGCGAACACCCAGCAGCATTCTTCCAGAAGCACTCACCGTTCGCCTTCTCTGCGCTGCTTTTCTGATGATAGGTTCCTGGTCCTCACTGAAGTACAATTTTTTCAGACATTAGAATCACCCATATACTATACAGAATGTTGTGTTTATTATTGCTTATAGGATATTTTGAAATAAGTATTACAGTAAAAAATGAGGCAAACATGATATTCACACAGATGGAGCAGAATACATAGATATACATACATCATATTTTATCCTTTTGGCTCTTGTTATACAACAGAATATTCCTGATCAGAAAGAGAACTTCATGGGAGAAGGGCTCCTTTTCACATCGTGTGTCTAGATCATGTTCATCCAGGTACTCAAAGCAGAGAAATGGGAATGCACAGCCCCCATACTTTATCTTGAATCTTAGCTATATACATGTTTAATCTGAAGTATGGTCATGCTTGTTTTAACATAAAAGTGTTTAAAACCACAAGTGAATTATTTAACCTTTCACCTCTACCCCCATAAATCTTCAAATAAAATAGAGCAGACAAGCTGCCTCCTTAGTGCATCAGTCTCACGAAATAGAGCAGATAAGAGGGAAGATTACCCAAACCTGCAACTGAGGTACTTGACCTGACTAGGAATCAAACCCTCAGCCTTTTGCTGTCCGGGATGACATTCCAATCAACTGGGCCACCCAGCCAGGGCCAGGACATTTCATAAAATTAAGCAACAAGAATGTAGTGGGAAGTCCTGCCAGTGCCTCCGCTGGCCAAGAGCAGAGCTTAGGGAAGTTGGGATGAAGAGGTTCAATGCCAGATACTTCTTTTAAGCTCTTTTCCTTGTTCTTTCTGCAATGGGTATTTCTGCAATGGACTGTCAAACATGGATCTTGGCGGAAGGGGGAGGGGGGGAGGATCAATAGATTGCTTTGTCTTATCTCTGTAGAGTGGTTTTAGGTTTTAAAATTCCTGAAGACAGACTGGGCTTAGGACCCACCAGTGGGCGGTCAGAGCCCTTTGGTTTTTGAGGTAATTCTTCCCTGACATGGGCTTGCCTTCTCATACATCACCCTTTGTTTCTGGGTTTTGCAATTCTGGTAAGTATCTGGGTGTGGCAGAGGGAGACTAACACACCTCAGGTGTGGGAAACTAAAGAAGGTCCAGAGCCTGTCACATTCATGGTGTTCCACGTGTACTAGCCTGTGCTTTACGGTTAATCTCAACAACTTACTCTCCTCTGCTGCAGAAATAAAGGAAGACTCAGAAGTGTGTGTGTGTGTGTGTGTGTGTGTGTGTGTGTGTGTGTGTGTTTTGTGTGTTTAAAGACAGTTGTTGGGTGAAGAATTGGAACCTGTTGATTTAACTGGCATAAGATTGTCTTTGTGATAATGAATCATCAAATAATTATAATAGATGGTTGTGTAATGGTTTGCCCAGCCAGTATTTCCAGTATGAAGATTCACAGTAATTAACCTGTTACTATCAACTGTTTTTGAATAAGTTGCTTTTAAAGAGGGAACACTAGATTTGAAATAGGAACTAAATTTG